GGTTTGATAGAACACATTATTCCTCATGGAGTGGCCATACTGCAATATGCAGATGACACAATCATTTGTCTTAAACATGGGATGGAAGGAGCTATTAATATGAAATTTCTTTTGTACATGTATGAAATGCTGGCTGGTTTGAAAATAAATTTTAATAAAAGCGAAGTTATTATGATCAATGATGAGGAGAATTTGGGGCAAATATATGCTGATCTTTTCAATTGTCAAGTAGGGTTCTTCCCAATCAAGTACCTGGGCGTTCCTGTTAGACCAAATAGGCTACATGTCTGTGATTGGCTCCCTCTTTTAGAAAAAAGCAGTAAAAGGTTAGATGTTTGGAAGGGTGGCTGCATGTCTATTGCGGGCAGATCTACCTTGATTAGTGCTAGTCTTAACAATTCACCGATATATCATATGTCTGTCTATCTTTTGCCTAAAACTGTAGTTGGTAAATTAGACAAGATAAGGAGGATCTTTTTTTGGCAAGGAGGAAGGACAAAAAAGAAGTATCATTTGGTTAAGTGGGAAAAGATATGCAAAAGCAAGAAAAAAGGGGGCTTGGGGATTAAGAACTTGAGGAAAATGAACATCAGTCTCCTTTGCAAATGGTGGTGGAAGCTAGAAAAAGAAGAGGGTTTATGGCAAACAATTGTCAAACATAGATATTTTAGGAAGGACAATATCTATAGTGTTTCTCACAAGTTGAATGATTCTTCTATTTGGTATGACCTGTTGAAGATCAAAGATGTTTATTTACTGGGGAGAGTTGTTTGCATTAAAAATGGGTGTCAAACTAGATTCTGGAAAGATAAATGGCTATATCCTCAGCCTCTGTGTATTTCAGATCCTATCCTCTTTGAACTATGTGAATGCAAAGATGTCTCTGTTGAGAAAATTAGAAGTGGTGAGGTTCATATTACATTTAGGAGATGGCTTCCGATAGAATTAAGACGTAGATGGGAGGAAATTTGTTGTGATGCCTCTTCTTTTATTCTGGTAAATGAACCTGATAAAATCATTTGGACATTAGAAAAGAACCAGAAATTTTCTGTTAAGTCTACTTACAATGCTTTGACAAGTAATGAGGCTGGAATATATCACAAAAAGGTTTGGAAAGGGAAGATACCTGCCAAGATAAAAAAGTTTTTTTGGTTAATGACTAATGACGCTATCCTTACTAAGGACAATCTCATTAAACGAAAGTGGAAAGGTGATCCTGTCTGTTATTTCTGTTCAAACCCTGAAAGTATACAACATCTCTTTTTTCAGTGCCCCGTGGCTAAAACCATCTGGGCAGTGGTGGCTAAATGTTTTGGTGCAGATACAATTCCCAGAAACCTGAATCAATGTTGGAGATGGTGTGATCAGTGGCTTCCCTTTGGGAAGAAATTTCATGTTTGCGGAGTTGCTGCTATTTTCTGGGCAATTTGGAAAGCGCGAAACAAGGCTTGTTTTGACAAAGTTGTCATCAAAAGCCCTTTAGACATTATATATCATGCCTGTGCGCTAATGACATATTGGGCAGGTCTGTATGGCGAAATGGACAGGGAACAATTCGTGGAGGGGATCAACACTATGCTGAAGATTGCAGAGAAGATTCTGAAGCGCAAGCGTGGAGATACTGAAGCTGAAGCTGCGAATCGTTTACAAGATGGCAACCCTGAGGGACAGGATGGGGCATCAGCTTAAAAGAAGGGAGTGTGGATTGCCTGAAGCTTTTGGTCGATGGATGAAGATGACTGTCGTCAGTTTCACTGGTTGTAGGAAGTTTATGTGTCTGGAGGGAATCCCCCTGCTACTGTCTTCTTTCGTGTTTTTTTTTCTGCTGAAGGTTTCTGAAGTTCTAGGCTTGTATGCGTAGGTCCTTAAGGTGTTGCTCTGAGCCAGAGCCTTAGTCTCCTTCTGGTTTAAACCCTGGATGCAGGTCAAACTGTTAGTTTGGTCATCTGTGCTCTGTCTAATCTGTCACAAACTCTGTATTTCCGTTAATTTCGTTTAATGGAAATGGGAACTTCTCGGTTGAAAAAAAAAATGATATTATGTGGTCGTTTCCGAGTACTACTTAATTTATAAATTGCCTCTGATCTGTTGATTGGACGATTAAATTTTTTTGACCGTTCGTGTGTGCTGCTATACAATACTACATTTTTTGTTGACTGGAGGTAGGTAGTAGTAGATCGTCAGATTGTTGTAAGGATTCAGATTGGAAGTTCCAAAATAGGACAAGTCACACAAATATTAATTATTTCAGGTCCAAAAAACATGATCGTCTGGCCTTTTTTTTTCTCCACACATCTATATGAAATCACAAGATGTACCAGAAAATATGTTCGTACATTGCAACGAGACATATAATTTGTTACCCGATGCTAATGCCAACATAATAAGCTAGCTTTTGTTGTAGTTAATTGGATTTGGTCCAACCTTAAATCAAATAAATTTCAAGATCTGTAATAAATGGATGCCATAAAAGATTAATTCCAAATCGAAATTTGATATGAGATTGACATAACTTAAATAGATGGTTATTGTGTATATCTATTGTGAAATGAAGAAATGTGGAAGACAAGCCATATACATTCGCAAGCGCACTGTGACGTGAATGGGCTTGGCCAACGACATGAGTGATGTGGTGCCAACAAAAATTTTGCAACTCCAAATTAAAAGTGAGAAGGGTGAGAGTGAGAGACCACGGACTGACGAAGAACGGACGATTTCTTTTAGAACGGCTGGTGGCACCACTACGCTATGTTCTTAACTAAGAACTCTAAACAAGTTTATTGTTTAGTAAATTTGATTTCTAATTTGAATTGGAGCATGTTTGTCTGATAATTATGGATATATATTAAACTATTAATAATATGGACTCGCGACATTTTTTACCCATATATTTAAGGAAGCCACAGCTGTACCCAATCACATTTAAATTCAAATATCTGTTCTCGCACTCTTCTGATGAGGAGCAAACAAAATCAAATACTCTTATACATTGAGCAAACAAACCAAAACGATTGACCACCGACCACCGGGGAGCTACTGCGCGGTGGGCGATGCCGATGCTGCGCCAGCGCCGCGTCGGAGCGTGCGGGTGTAGTTGATGATGGAGTTGAGGCGCTCCAGCTTGAGATCCTCCCGGAACCTCCGGATGAACGACTCTGCCCGCGCGTTCAGCGCCGCCTTCCCCTCCAGTGCTTCCTCCGCTTCCCGCCTGCACGCAGGTGCGCGATGCTGCATGGTTGTTTCCGCCAACTTCTCCTCCTGGCTCTGGCTCTCAACGGCCGCAGTTGCCTCGTCGGCGCTGACAACGTCTACCGACGGCGGCTGCTGCAACGCCAGACTGTGAGCGGCCTCGTCGTCCGAGCTGGTGGACATGTCTTCTCCCGCTCCCGCCTCTTCCTTGGCGATCTCGGACGATGCGCCGTCTGCCTCAGGAGCTGCTACTGCCGCCGCAACAGGTGACCTCGCTGGTTCCGCAACGACGGCTGGTTGGTGCGGCTGCTCCAGCTCCTCTGCTTCCAGTTCCAGCTCGGGGGACGACGTGCTGTAGTACTCTTCCACGTGGACGGAGAACATGGAGAAGGAGCGGAGGCGGTCGAGGACCATGGACGACGCGCTCCGGCAGAGCCTCCGCGTGGACGCCGCCGCCGCGCGGCCACCTTGGTGGTGCCCGCGGGACGTGACCACGATGGCGCCGATGAGCACGTTGACGAAGAGGAAGAGCGCCGCGCCGGGGCTGATCCAAGACGACAGCGGCCACCCGGACAAGTACTCCACTGCCATTGATCGGTGATCAGCAGCCGCTCCTAGCTCGCTCGCCGCTGATTTTTTTTTGTTACTCAAAGCGCTCTGCAATAATGTGCACACCGCACAAGTGATAAGAGCAACATATATATACTGCAGTAAATAAGCAGGTTTCCACAGAGAGTACAAGTGACAAGCACCTTGTTGCTGTCGTGCTGTCTACATATATATAATAAAATAATAAGAAACAAATTAGGAAAGGTAACGCATGTGCAAGCTTGTGGTATCATGTGTTTGTGCTTGTCTACGCGTACAAAAGCCCTGGTTCAAGAAAGAGGCAACGTTGCTTTAGCAATAATCTACTACTTCCGCATCGTGCATGTGTAGATCGTGCAAGTGGGAGGAACGGACGAATTGAACTCCACTCTTTTTGCCCTAGCTGCAACCTGCAGCTTGCAAAGAAGATTCGCTCGGAGATTAACAACGGTTAATTTAACCTGCGTGTTCCTTTGTCATTTACTGGCTTTTGGATGTGTTTTAGACGGAGCAATGGCTGGCATGCATGATACTTATGTTCTCTGTCTTTTACCTAATTATTAGTGGATTATTCGTCGCAAGGAATCCTTTATTTTGTGTTGCTTTTTCTTTCTCTATATTTATATACCCATGCAGGTCAGTGTTGATGTATATGCTTAGTCCCTAAGCATAGGAAGGATATACACCCGAAATGTGGCCACAATCGCCTTCCTTTCTTGTTGGGGTCACGTCACCTTGCTTTTCTTAGTTATTTATTAATATTTTGATCATTTCATTCACTCGTATGAACGGTTAGATATTTAGGCAAATAGAGTCTATATATTTAATTTGAATCCATAAATTGGCAATATATTTGTGACAATAAGTATACGCACATGTGGTCTACTCGCAATTCCAAAGATACTAAACATATTGATCAAATGAATGAACATACATAAGAACTAAAATTGTTGTAGTTTATACCAGAGATGGGATCAAATAATTCCTAAAATGCATAAGTAGAGGAACCAATAACCAACTCGACTTCAACTGTATCTAAGAATATTAAGCATGAATTATGTTCTAGCAAATGCAAACAGTCATGATAAAAGGTGTATGGAACACTCATAAGGTTGCAAGCTCAAATAGGTAAAAGTGGGTTTCTAGTAATATAGTAACATAAATGCAATATACAACACAATGCAATCAAGTAAATTCAATTATATATAAAAGCTAGAGAATGCTTAGGAGCCTGCCGCGATACTCAGCGGGTGGTGTTGCGACTTCGGGTTAAGGCTCAACGTTGTTATTAGGGGGTTCACCTCCTCGTGTACTTCATCTCCTATATGATGCATACATGAATGAGTAAATGTAATGCTTATGCTTGGTATGAGATGCCTGAACGGTATGTGATCATGTATGAAAGCATATGAACCCACTAGGTACATAGAGTGTAGGTGCTTTAATTTAAAAGAAGTGCAGTGTGCGCTGACTTGTGTCTCACAGACAGTCAACGGGGAACTGACGAATGCAGAGTTATCACAATGGGGAAGCACGCTCAGTGAGTTCCCAATCTTGCATCCTCTCTCTTTGCTGCCAGCGGCCAGGAACCATGATGTATGCCATAGGTTATTAGTATGACAATTATTATGCAAGATCAGATTAAAACTGGGTCCATACACCATGCATGTAATAAGGTGCCTGAGGTATGACTAGATGAGAAGTGTTCATCATAGTATCCACTAAGCACCAGGTAAGAATGGATTTATTTTCGCGATAGATGAGCACGGGGCATTGGCAACCATTTAGCGGCGACCAAGACTAAGGTAAGTCCTGCCCGACCTAAAGTTTTGGGCACAATCTGCCTCTGGATCCATATATGCTATGCATGTAGTAATGTTGCAAAACCAGATTAATAAATCTGACATAAGCTGGCAAAGATTGAAAAGAAATCATTATCAACTGATTTAATACACATGATTCGCAAAAAAAATAAAACTGATTTACTACACATGTTTCTACTTCACCAGTACATTTTTATGAGAGCCCACATATGGTACAACTGCCCGGCAACAAGAGTGGGATGCAGCAGTTTCCACGTAGCACAAAAACGAACATCGCAACCAAAATGGCATCAAAACTACGCCACACAAATTACAAATTGTAAAAGCCTTTGTGTAGACCAACACCCGCAGTTCGGCGGGCTGTCTATGAAATGAATGGATCTGTGCCGCTGTTATAATACAGAATTCTGTGCTCATTTCTCCATGTAGGCAGCAACCATTCTTCAGTTATATTGAGTGGTTTTGCTCCATGGTGAGCGCCTGTGTCCAAATCCAATACAAATGAGCAACGAATGCTTGGCCTGGTGGTCTCACACTCGTCAGACAGGTTTGTCTCAGACCCCCAGTATACAAAACAGTACACTGCTTGATGCTCAAATATCCTATGACCTTCCTGATAACATGACAGAGGTGGCATGTATCTCCAAGGAGTGCTCCGGCATGTACGCAAGGTCTGCAGGGCAACAGTCACTTCTCAAGACTTTTCTTTTTATAAAGGTTCTCAAGGCTTATAAAAAGATAAAAGGTATATGACATGAAACAGCTAAAATAACGAATGTATTTTTGGTAGTCTAAATCCACTGCACTAATTAATTTTTGTAAGTCACTACAAACAAGGACAACTAATCCTTCAAGCACTGACAGATAGCAAGCAAATAAACAGACACTCCCTTCTTAAAGTCGACAATCTGTACCACTTTGTATTGGCAACATTCTGCGTTTAGCTGCTAAGTCCTTTTGCATTTTTTTAGAAAAAAAAAAATGAAATATTACCTTTCTCACTTGCAGTTATTTGAAGTGTATCAACTGTAATGATTCCATCTGTTAATGGAAGCAGCTCAAGTTTGGCAGTGGTGCTTGAACGTGCAGGAACACACCTGTTAGCCACATTCACCACAGCTAAATGTTATTCGACGGTGTTTTGGAATATAGGTAGCTCAATCTCGAGTTGACTCTTTTAAGTAAACGAAAACAGGGAAGGGTCAATACCCTAGGGGCACTGCACTCTGCAACCACAGATGAGTACAGCCTGAAGCATTACTCATTCTGTTTCCTCCATTGTCACCTTCTTTTGGAGATCGAGCTAGGACAGAATTCAATCCTTGAAAGCCGATTCCATGTTTTCCCAATCCAGATCTTTTTGCTGACTGATTAACACCATCAAAAGAACCATTTGGGGTGGCTGGATCTGAGTTTAAGGATACAACTGAAGAAGAACCAGATGCTTCAGGAGTAATGACAGTTAACGTAAGGTTTTCTGATGTCATATTAGTAGCTTCGAGTGTTAATACCTGGAAGGAAATGATATATCATAGTCAAGGTGATAAATGGAGAATTTCTGTAACATAATTGAAGAGATACTGCAATAACCTGCACAGGGAGTTGAGGAACTCAAGCACCCAGACTTGGATTTCGTAAAGACAGTTCAGATGATACAGAGATCATAAGATCGCTAGCTGCAGAGGGTCGCCAGCTTGTTGCTTGCTTGAAAAAAAGTTTCGATTCTACAAAGATAAAAGGGCTGAATCAGAACTTTCCACTCCATTCATGTTTCACAGAATCTATTTGTTTTGTCAAATAATTGACCAACCCTTGGTATATGATTATTTAAAGTAGATTCAGTCATTGTTGGGAGTGACAAAGCCAGAGGTGCATGACTGTTGGTCTTCCGTTCCCTTGAGGACATGATTGCTGGCTTGAGAATAAAAGAGTGCTCCTCTCCCCTCCTAGAAAAATAACAAATAATGTAGAAATTTAAAACAATTGTCACATCCTTTAATACAAGCACACAACACTAAAGTGAATCTTGGATATGGAAACAAAAAATTTGTGGTAAAATGTGTCCAAAACATGTTGCAATATTTTGTTTACTTATTTTGCATCTGAAGCTGCTAAGTTTGGCATTTTCAAAGGGTAATAAATTTCTTATGGCTGAAATTATGTCATGATTCAAGTTTACATAAAGCTGCAATAGCAGGTAGATCATGAGCAGAATCAATGAGAAAAGTAGTATATACCTGAGTGCTAGATTTGGTAAGTTGTGATCATGCCCAACCTCAATACTAGCAATTGGTAATGACAAAGGGGCACCTCCTTTGGATGCCTCCTCAAATACGATAGTAATTGCATCAATGAACACAACTATATCTTTTGCATGAATAGGAGAAATGTTCTGCAACAGGAATTCATGATATAAACATTATCTTTGGAACATTAGTTTAGGAAATGAAACATGAATGGATGCTTTGATATATCTGACAACCTTTACTGAGACACAGAGAAGATTTTCCAAAGTACATTTTGCAGCAAAAGAATTAACCTCGATCGGTTGAATGATTTCAACTTTTCTCCGCCATCTTTTTCCCAGTAGATACACACCTTCTAGACCACAACGTACAGAATACCGTTCAGGTTCCAAAGGAACTCCTCTAAATGAAAGCTGCCCATCATTAATAATAGCAGGGGTTTTTGCAGGTTTTTCATGCATAAATTCTTGACTTTCAGATATTGATGGTGGTTTTACATTATTCGGTGTCTGAACAGAAGAGGGTGAAGGCATGGAGTAGCTTCTAAAGTTAAATATTTGAGACCCAGGAGCAGAATAAGAGTTGTGTGATACACTTGTATTGAGAGTAGGGGGTGCTAAAGAACGAGGCGGTAATGTACGATCTAAAGGGAGCACCCAACTCAGCAGCTCCCGACATGGATCATCATTACTGTCAGAAAGTCCATCCACAAGATTATCAAGCATATAATTAATTGGTGTACTTTTCTCAAACTGAAGAACTTCAAGCACAGGATCTTCCAGTTTTTTAACCCCAACATTCACTTGCAAAACAATCTGCATCCTTCCACCAGAGAAAATGATTGCTGAATCAGCATGCATTTAAACCACAGAGAATTGCAACAAACTACATGGCTGAATAGTTAATTAAATAGTAACACCACAAACTTCTTATAACAATTACCTTTTTACAAAAAAAAGTCATGCTTTTCTCTGCCGCTAATATATTAATGTATTCTGTAGTTACATAGAAGGATTCACATGGATTTTATGAAAATTAATTAATTAATTGAGTAGATTTCAGAAAATTACATTAAGGCTGCAAAAAAAATCACAAAACTACAAGAATTAATTTCACAAACGCACACTTCTTTTGACATTCTATATTGATAAACTAACCTTTTTAATAATAAACATTGCAAAACCAAACTTCTATTATGATACTGCATTGCATTAAGTACACATTACTTGTTTCATGTCGCAGATTACACATTTAAAGTTTCAAGCCCAAATGAAAATGCAGTTTCACGATATGGAATGGCAATAGATGCGAGTTCTGCAATATGAAATGAAAAAAAGAAGTACACAGCTGTGAAATAAATTCTAATTTCTAAGTGCAGTTTTTTTATATGCATGCAAATAGAACTGTATTGCAAAATTGGTTACAAGAAGTGTAATGTAGCTTTCTGAAATTTACTTTAATTAATTATAGAAGGCAATGTGATATTTAAAAGTTTTCAGGACACATCAGTAGCTATTTCCAATCTACAATAGCACTGGGTGCCAAGTTCTTTACATAGATGCAATATATATATATATATATATATATATATATATATATATATATATATATATATATATATATATATATATATATATATATATATATATATATATATATATATATGAAAGCCATTTAGAGGAAATGTTGCCTAAAGAAACAAAAAGGACAATAGTCAAAATCTAAATGAACTTGGTAATTAACAATGCGTTGAATTTGAGTTAGTAGCAGATCTGAGTCGATTTTCAGGTAGGGGCCTGATGCCTGGATAAGCTTAGGTTGAAGCACAAAGCTTGCAGTTGTTTATGCAATGCCCATCAACACCCAGTGGTCATGCACTGCAAGAAGTTGTAGTACATGATGTCACACAGCAATTATAAGGGACCCTTCAAGACATACCACTATGTCTCCATTCTGCAGAGAATAACACTTCACAGTATCTCGAGCGACTCCCCCAGATGTGATACCATCAAAAATCCCTTTATCAGAAATGGTATTGTAAACATTACTCCTTGAGGTCTTACTATTTCCCTGGCTATCTGACCAGTCCTCTGCCGTCGTAGTTGCAGTTACTCTTTTCTTCGACCAGAGAGGTTCGTCTGACTCTGCAATTCGGACAAAAATATTGGATTCTCTGAATCTTTGCAACATATGTTCTATTTGCTGCTTATGACCTTCCATCTGAAGGAGAGATTGAGTCTCCAAAATATCATGTTCTGAAGGACAGCCTTCACCATTGAGTTCAACATCCTGATAGCCACTTTCTCCAGCTTCTCCATTATCATGACCATTTGCACTGACAGGGCTAGATTTACTTGTAGAGTTTTGCAAAGAATTTCCATTCTTAGACATCACTTCAGCAATTCTAAAGGGGGATATAACCTGCGTATCTTGCTTAGAAGCTGACAGGCACGCTAGTATATGAACCTGCTCGCCTGATAACTGAACCAAGTCAATTCCAGAAAATACGTAACAAGATGCAATAGAACCAGAGTGTTTAACTAAAGTCACAACGAAAACACATTTACCAGGAACAAGGAAGGAACGGTCCAGAGCCTGCAACTGTACCATTTCTGAAATATCATTCCAACTTCCAGGAAGTGCCTCTGTAAGCAAATTGTAGATGTTACTAACTAGCAGAGATAATAAATGCTTTTACTAGCATCAAGTGTTCAGCGGATAATAAATGGTTGGCTGACACTTTCAATCTAAAACTAAGTTATGGTCAATAAGTTGATAGTAAAGAAAAAAAAGGCTGTATAACCTTACTTATGCAATGCAGATCAAGGATGAGGATAAGGAGTGATCACTTGGTTCATGAAAGATAAGTTCCGTCTGATGAATACAAAACATGAAGTGTTTATGATATATAACAAAAATGAGACAAGTCAAAGGCACTCAACTGTATGGAATTGTGATCCACCCTTCATCCTCCGCGACATCAGTATGTGTCCACGGCGGGACCGGACTTTTTGAATCTAGAGATGAAGGATCTCTGCTGATATTCCCGGAACCATTATTAGCATCTCCATCTTCACTGCAGGCGTAGGAGGGCTGGTGTGGATCATCTGCGATGAGACCCCCCAGTGTCATAGTTGGCTTTTGTAAGGAATCACCATGATCATCTTGCTCTGAAATTCTTGGCAACTCAGGTGCCGCAGGCTGCGAAGTTCGGTACAGGAAATTCATTTCTCAGTACTACTCGAGTTGCTTCCTGCAGAGCAAATAGATGCTGAGGGGTAAACGGACAACATCCACACCTTATTTGGGTAATTTGCAATTCAACATCACATGAAAACAGAGAACATTTTTAACACAGCATATTGAAGACCAGGACAGAATAGGCAATAACCGGATCATGGGTTGGACTAGGCTAACACAAGGCAGCAGCACCAAAACCACAAATAACTGATCAGAATAAAGATAAAGAATGAAAAATTTGGGTGCATTATGGTGAGAAATGTTTTGAACTTTTGGAACCACCATCAGTGTTACGTTTTTTTAATGGAATAATCAGTGTTACATTCTTCAAATTAGCTGAAATTAAACTGAAGTTATGTGGCAATTTCAAAGACTATGCTACAGCTCAGGGGCGGACCCAGTAAAGTACATGAGCGTACACATTTACATCCAATAATTTTTGCAAAACAAACGAAGTTAGTAGGCACAATACAGGCATATACACGTGTAACTGGATCAGATCCGAATGCAAATGGTAAGGTAGGGTTTGGGTGCTCGGTTTCACACAGTAGGAAGGGAGGGCAAGGGATGGGCGTACCTGGTGGTGCTCGGCGCCGGCGAAGGGCCCGAAGATGACCTGGGCACCTGGCGTGGCGTAGCGAGAGAGAGGGAGAAGGCCACGGTTGCTGACCGGGGTCCTTGTAGGTACGCTGGTGCAGACGTAACAGCGTTTCAGTACTAGCAAAGTGAAAGATAACCTCGTATAGGCTCGTATCGTACCTAAGGTTGGAAGCTATATTCTCTATTATAAATAAATGCAATAAAAGGCAAAAACAAACTAACTTATTTATGCTGTAGATATGCAACAGGTTGATACAACTTACCCTGTTGGGGTCGGGTTTCCTTTCCCAAACGTAAACTATACAGCGGCAGTATTCGTCCCACGACACTAGATGCCAAGCTTCAGTGTTTTATAGATGTGGACGTTCAACATCTGTTGCATTTCTCCTGTTTCTGATGACAAGGTTCTCCACGATGTGTGAGGTAGGAGGTGTCACAATCGAGGCCAAGTGGCTAACCATAGTGCTCGTACGTCAAGGTCGAGTGATGTGCACCATAATCGAGGGATAACCTTTAGAGCTTTGAGAGGTTTCTACTACCGCTTTCATGGTGGCAGGACCCTTTATTAAATGATCCCTTTTATCTTTCAATCTGTGACCCTCGTACGCACAAACATATCTGCACGACCTAACCTTTCCATCTGATTACTTTTGTTTACCTTTTTCGAACCTCAAAACCTTTTCGACCACTATAGCTAACTCAAAACATCTAAGCCGCCTCTGTACTACTGAATTCCATGCCTTGAGGTGAGAAACTTGGAGAAAACCCATCCCTACAGCAAACAAAATATTTAATTTGGTGGTCATATAATAAGCAACTAAAATATGTCTGACCGCATGGGAAGAAAGAAAAAAGCATGGATTACACACCTCTTTTCTTCCATCTCATATATCCTGATTCTATTTTGTGATGAACGCAAGTTGATGTTTCTTTAATCAATTCCAACACGAGCTGACGTAGTAGAGGATGGCAAACAAATTAGGAGAATATTGATGCAATCTAAACACACATGGAGAGGAGTGCAGACATGCGAACATGTTCCTGACGACACAACACAAGCAGCAGCCGATCGCCGACGCCTCGCCTTCATGCTCGCGGGAAAAGCTGATCGCCGACGCTGATGCCTCACCCTCGCGGCCTCGTTTGCGGGAAAAGCAGACAGAAATCGCGCCAAAACAGGGGAGCGATGGAGTTATTCTTGGGCCGAGGCCCAGATAACAGAGGAGCGCGGCAGCCAGACCTGCAGGCTCCGAGCGTATAAGTCAGCATTCGTTCGATCCGGAGCTGACAGCACAGATGTGCTGACTGCACGGCGCAGTCGATCGAGGTGAAGTTAGACGATCTCGTTCCGCTTGAGCTTGTTTACACCTTCTAGTAGCCCATTTCACCTGAAAAACTCTTGCGTGCAGCTTCTTTCTTCTCAGTTATTACAACTGAAAGATCGCACGTGACAAAGCGGTCATAGCTGCGCAGGGGCGGACCTAGGATTGGCCAAAGACCAGAGCCATTACATTAGGCATCAATGCTAGTTGTGCTTGGCTATTGAAAAACTGATAACATGTCCACTGTAATTAAGGACTAAGACTAGGGCCATAGCCCTAGTGGCCCTAGTGCCAGGCCCGCCACTGTGAGCCATGGAAAAGTTGTGAATAAAGATACATCGGGAGCAACTCTGAGCCTGCACAAAATCTTCTTCATATAGGAGTTGGCGATTGCCGCCATCAAGATAAGTACTATGGCCTTGTTGAGCAAACCAAGAACACTAGAAATTCTCGTGACAAGCAGAGTGCATTCTACACTACCAACTCGAGTGAAAACCACCTTCCAATGCTCAAACGTCGTGATGATAGATGAAACATGAATTCTATCAACCATGCATACAAGATATGATATTTAGCTCATCAATTCTATAGTCCTAACATCGATTTTAGGATTTAGGGTCATAGCAACCCAACAATGCAAGAATTCAAGAGTAGGATTGTGAATAGCATTGGTCCTCAGGGCAAAGCAGGAACTATGGCCCTGTTTGGGACCACTTATAATCGATTCTATTATAACCATCGTACCACGGGGACGTTTTTGATTCTCTGTTCTCGATTGTGCTAGTTCAAAGTTCTGAAACGACAATCAAAAGAATTAGAAATAATCAAAGCTTTGGCAAGATTCTTGATTTTTTTCACCAAGAATCGAATTATATATAAGCAGAAACAAACAAGTCCTATGTACAATTATTTCAATCCAAAGCTATTCATGATCAAACTTGTAATCTCTGCATGGGCAGTACATGTAGCCTTCATCACTAGATTACGTATGACATAAGCTTTGGTCGTCTAGATAAAAAATTTGATGCCTTTCACAAATTGAAGGTCTGAAGAGGCGAGATGGTACATCTATCCTCAATCGATCTATGAATAGACAAAAGGTATGGTATTGGATTTAGTTGAAGTTAAACTTATGTATGCATAAATAAAAGAGGGGAGACATCATTTACATTTCATTTACATTTTGTTACAAAAATGCCCATATCCATCACCCAGTTTTTTAACAATGAATGTCCAATAATAATGAATTTCGAATCTCATAGCAACCCTTAGAACAAAATTAACAAGCAGCTAGAATTTAAACAGGTCCATAATCTCATTTTATGAAAGGTTGCCTCCAATTAAACTGCCACATTTACTAGAGAATCAACCAAATTATTATAAAATTAAATGGGCTGCTGTTTAATAACCTTAAAGTACCAGTGTTACATGGGTTCATCTAAAAATTGGTAGCCCTCGTGGACAATTCAACTCTATGCTACAGTATTATGAAGAAAGTAAAGGAGCCAACTAAGCCATCACATTTACTAGAGAATCAAAAGCATATAACGAATCAAACTAGCTATAAATTAAATAGGTCTCTAGATACTAACCATAAATTAACGGCACCAAAAATTCAGATGCCTTCACGAAGGAAGTGCTCTCTAAAATGTAGAAAGAACAAGCATGAGAATTAAAACAATAATCAACAAAACAAGCTACCCATTCATTGGATTGCTAGTTACCCGCCTTTAAGCAAGGAAATCATGTTCATTCTTCAAAAACCAAGCCCCTCCATGAGCATTTTGGTAAAAAAAAAAGACCGCACCAGTGGAGAAAGAGGTGGGGAAATATGTTTCCTTGGATAGGCGTGCTTCGAATGTGACGGAGGAGGAAGAAAGGGGTTGGGGTTTTATAACGTAGTTAGGACATTATTGGGTCGATTACAAACTGACAATGATATCGTGTTGTCGTTGTCGGATCAAGACACAACACCGTATTGGCATATCATTGTCGAGTTGTGACCCTACAGTGATATCCACATATCATGTCGTTTCAAACGTATAACACCTGCTACCCCACCATTGTCGTATATGCTGGAGCCAGCAGTGACCCCGCTTCACTGTAGAGTTGTAAGTCTAGGATCCAGATAATGATATACCACTGTCGGATCATGACTCAAACCGACAATGAGTGAGCTTCACTGTCGGATATAGAGGATCCCAATTGATCATATCACTACGGGATACTGTGTATTTACCGAGTGTGAGTAACACTCGGCAAATAGTGCTACACACTCGGCAAACTCTTTACCGAGTGTCACACTCGGTAAAGTGGACTCGGCAAACAACGACTCGGTGAAGTTATTTTACCGAGTGTCTAATATCGGCGCACTCAGAGCAGAGATTTACCGAGTGCTACAATGACACTCGGTAAACAATTATGACTTGACGGTCGTCAGCCTCCAAACTGACCGTTAACGGCGACTTTTACCGAGTGTCACCAGCAGCACTCGGTAAATAAATTAGCATTTCGTGATTAAAACAATTCCGCAAATAAATTTTTTGAATAATGTTTACCGAGTGTTCCCACTCGGTAAAAAGTAGTCAAATATTTCCGAGTGGGGATGCGGTACTCGGTAAAAAATGGCACACTCGGCAAAATTCACAGAATCAGAACCAATTTGGTTCTGTTCTCTGTTTTACCGAGTGCTACACTCGGTAAAATATGTCCACAGATTTTTTTTTGTTTGTTTCGGTGCATATCCAGTCACAATAAGCAACAAAATCACAGGAAATTATAATAACATGACAGATATGCAATATATATCACATATATGTCCACAAATGTCACATCCACTCACAATAACCAACATATGTCGACAAGCACCATGCAAAGTCCACAAACACCATCAACATGTGTCCAAAGTCCACAAAGTTCAACCAAGTCCACAGTTCAACATACAAACCCATCAAACAAGGTCGGATGGCCTGTCACGTGGTCGGAGGCCTGCGGAGAAACGGAGTCAAGTCCAGGTCTTGATCACCCTGCATATCGTTGATCACCCTGCAGTGGGAAAAAAGAAGAAGGATCGGAATGACTGTTTATCCTCCCAGCCCAATTATCCAACCACGCTGAAAGGGAACTCACAGTCCGTGCGTATAGGTCGTGGAGATAGACCAGTCATCAGTGTCTTAATTCGATTCGTCTCGATCCACCATTCATGCATACTGTTAGGATGACTTTATCAGTCGTACTCTCTTTAGTGTACTGATGTGTGGATAAGGCATTTTTGGTTTGAAATATATTGCAATGATTTCTAAAATGTGGATTTTTTGGTGTCACGGGTTCAAATTTCTTTCATGTTTTATCTGCATAAAGATGATCAGTTTGGTTATCAGCTAGCTTTATTTCTGTCTCTCGAGAATCCACTAATGTATTTCTCATCGATCGAGACACATAAGTTCAAGATGTTTCTTTGATGTCTCACGTCCAATCCTTTTTGAACCCAATCGAACATGTTCAATTTAATCGAGCATGTAGATTGGACCACATTTTCCTGGACTCTCTACCGTGGACCTCGGAAGGGTTACTACCAACTTCGAAAACAAAATATTCCATGAGGCTAATAGTAAGGTAAGCCTATTGTCTCCTCTTTTAGCTGATCAATTAGTATCATTTACATATGTGCAGCGTGTGCATTTCAGACTTCAGATCGAGAGAAGCTGCTGCGCTTTCAGCGTGTGTCCTATTCACTTTCGGAAGAAAAAACGAAAACCGCCGGACTCGCTACATCCCCTATCGACATGAATTCCACACGGGCGCGACGAGCACGCAAGCAATCCCCAAAAGGTCCGTGGACGCCGAAAGCTTCAGTCCGGCAGCGCGAACGGCGGCCAGTCACGAACTAACAGGGGGCCGTCCGGACGGATCCATCCATTTCCATTCCATCGCATCACGGTGCCACCAGACGGAGGGAGGGGAGAGGTGGCAGGGGCAGGTACACAGGCGTCGACGGGAGAGCAGGCGGGGTCCCTTGTCGCCACCGGTGCAGCGAGGAGCACGTCTGGAAGGGGAGGCCACAGTCGGGGAGGAGAGAGTGCTCGCCGTCGCCCGCTTGCTAGGGCCCACCCCACCCCACCTCATGCGGAACAGGGAGCGAAGGAGGGAGCACGGGCGGCGTCGACGGAGGGGATCGTCGTCCGGTCTTGCGCCGGTGCTGCGGTCTCTCTCCGTCTCTCTCTCTCTCTCCGCCTCTCCGGGCGGCGGTTGTGGGGGACCGCCCGTGTGCGGCGTGGTGGAGGGAGGAGGCGGCCACCACGGTGGGGAGGCGTGTGCGGTGTGTGTGTCATGCACGATTTGAGGGAGAAAGCGGCTAAGTGTTGAATGCTTCATTTACTGAGTGCCTAGATGTACGGCACTCGGTAAACTCAAGCACCGCATGACCCAATGACATGTGGGCTGGTACATGTTTACCGAGTGCCCAGATCTACGGCATTCGGTAAACAGAAGCATGGCAGCCCACTGTGGCAGACAGGTGGGCCGTGGCTAACCTTTACCGAGTGTTTGAGGTCACACTCGGTAAAAGTATCCATTATTTCATGCAAAAGAAAAAAGAAAAAATGCCAATTTAATCCTAAAATTCACCAAACTTTCACATGAACTAAAATTCACCAAACTTTCACATGAACTTTTTAATGTCATCTATTTACTATCTAAAAAATTCCAAGTTCAAATCATAATGTTGAATTTCACTCTTAATAGAAATCCTACTCGTCATTGTGAATGTTTAGCGTCTCTTTGGGAGATGTACCGGTTCGGCAGCGACGAATGTAAAAATACTTCCAAAACGTTATGAATTTTTTTCTATAACATAGATGTATGCTTCAATGTTAATTTTTCCAATCTTGTGATTTATCGAGTTCGATTTTAATTATTACAATTAAATTTACACGATATGTACCTAATTTTCATAAAGAATGAAAATTTTGTGAAATATAGTAAATAAATCGAAATAAACACCATATTTTGGAATGGAGTACTAAATATCATATGTGGATAGAGAAAAAAGAATGAAGGGAAAAATAAGAAATTTGGTTGAATTTTACCGAGTGTTGCGCCAATACACTCGGTAAAAGATAGTGTTTACCGAGTGTTGTGCACTGACACTCGGTAAACATTTTTGGTCTTTTTTATTTGCTATGAGCGCTTTATGGGCGGAGCTGTTGTTACCGTGATGTTTGCCAAGTGTATGCTCATAACACTCGGTAAACATGTCATGCCGTGACGCCGTTTGGCGCACGGTTGCTATCCTAGGGGACGTGGCACCTCAATACCGAGTGACTGTTTTTATCGAGTGCACCCCTTCGGTAAACTTGTAGTTTTACCGAGTGTCTGAAGTTACCGAGTGTGCTGACTCGGTAAAGCGGTCGACTATCGGGTGTTTATGTTTTCCGAGTGTTGGCACTCGGTAAGTACTGTTTTCCGAGTGCCTCGACTTTTGACACTCGGTAATTATCGGGGCACTCGGTAACTACACAGTCTCCGGTAGTGTATGCTTACAAACGGGCAGTGAAACAGGATCATTGCTAGCTCGGCACACCCAATAGCTATGGGCTGGCAGAAAATGTGTGTTCTACGGACTTGTATTTGCGTACTGATTTCTTAAGAAATATTTTACTTGTATAGCATATTGTGTGTCGGATTATTATACCGAAATTTCTTCACTAGTAATGTATTTATGTATTACATTTCTCAAATCCCTACCTAAGCGGTACAGAACCAGCCAAACGTGCGTGATAGGTTCGGATTCGAGCCCCCAAATCGAATACCATGATCTTATATTCATGCATAATAAAAGTAAATAAAAAAGAAAAAGAAATCAATCACTGTTAAGAGACTGCACTGTAGATACTACCGTTATGTAACCTGGTTGTGATTATTAAACTAAAAGATACAAAGATCAGGATACATTATGAAATTTCCATAATCTTACACTATATTATTAATACAAACTGTCATTAAAATTCTAGCCTGATTTATAATCTTTTTGTGCTCATATATAATTCTTTAAAAAAATAAAACGAGTCTGTAGATCTTTCGGTTTGACAAAAAAAAAAATCTAATTTCTCTATCATCCAAAAAAAAAAGAATTATTCGCACATGCATTGGCATCCATGCATGCGAACAATGGAAGGTTTGATCAGAATGAAGAAAAGCCTAACCCTAGCCTGCAATGCGATGACTCAGCTGCCATTTGTGCGGCTTCAGCCGTGGAGACATTGATGGCGCCATCCTCCTCCTGTAGGTCGACATTGACGTCGACGTTGGCGTTCATGTCCATCGCCTTGATGTCGACTCCAATGCCGGCCGCATTCACATCCACCGTCTTGATGTCAATGTCAACCCCGGCGTCGTTCACGTCCACCACCGGCTGCAGCTCCTGCCGCATGTCAAACGCGTCGACGAGTGACACCGCCTTTATCTCGAAATAATCCTTGGCGTCAATCTGGCCGCAATTCACGTCGAGGTGCTGCTGCTGATGCCTTATTTCTTCATCAGGCCCCGCCGGAGCCATCAGATCTACTTTGTCGGCGGCGGCGCAGCTATCGTCGAAATCGAATTGTTGCATGTTGTCGAGGTTGATGTCGATGGTAGGCTTGCTACTGGCATCGTCGCTGGCGGTGGCGTCGTAGTAGAAGTAGTCGAAGAGCTGCTGCTGCTGCTGCTGCTCACCGTGATCATCCTTGGGGCTGTGGCCTCCACCGTGGTGGTGGACGACCTCGTCGGTTGGAAGGATGGCCGTGTCAGCGTCGTGAGTCGTCGTGTAGAGTGCGTCAACGACCTCTTGCTGCGCGTTGAGGAGGAGCGGCTGGTTGGAGGACGTGACGTCGAGGTCAGCCATGCCGCCGCCTTGCTGCTGCGGTGGCATCGCGGTGGCCGCCTGGCGGCAGAGCGCCAGGTGGTGGAGGACGGCGGAGAGCTCGGCCGTCTCGATCTCGACCTGGCGCTCCAGGCTGAGGATGAGGCGGTAGCAGCCGCCGACGGGGTCCTTCGCGCGCATGTCGGACTGGTAGATGAGCGTGCCCATGGCGTCGGCGCAGAGGTCCGGCCGGAGCTTCTTGAGCGTCTTGAGGATGTTGCTGACCCCGAAGAGACGGTGCGCGTTGAGGAAGCGCCGCTGCTGGTCGGCAGGGAAGTAGGGCGCCAGCGGGCAGTCCGGGTTGCACTTGCGCCGCTGGTACTTGCACGCCGCGCACGCCTGGTTCGTGCTCCCGCTGCCGCCGCTCCCGCCGCCGCCGCCGCCTGTGCCGCCGGTGGTGGTGCTGCTGCCGCGAGGGGAGCTGCTCGCCGAATGCGGGGAGGAGCGCGCGTTGCTGGGGCTGTGGTTTGATGAGGGCGGTGTGAGTGCAGAGGTCCCGGTGGCGGTGGCGATGGTGGTAATATGCAGTTGGGAAGCGGCCGTGGTTGGGGCTACGGAGGAGGTCATTGTCTCGCCGCGCGCGCCCGATCGCGCAGGTGGCGGCAATGGCGATCGTCGTGCGTGCTACCACCACCGAGGTCGGGGGCGTCGGTGGAGGGCTGGCCCCGGCGCCGTCGTAGGAATAGGAGAGGCGCCGCGGGCTGTCCGCGCCATTAATTAGCTTCCGCCTGCTTCGTGATGCCTATTAAAAGACATGATCCATGCATGAGTCTGTGGACGGGTGAACTCGTTGAGAGATGGGAGTTGGATGGCTGTGGCGCAGGATGGCTTGTGATGCATGAAGGGAACGAGGGAGTGGTCCGAATCGGTCATGATGGGTGATCGGCCACTCCGAGCATGCTGGGCTGTTGATCTCTACAGGGTGGTGTTCGTTGCATAGTCACAAAGTTCCCGGTATATAGGGTACAAGCAACCAGATACCTAGAATGTGGATCGACAATTTTAGGTTCCCGATTCGTAAGGGGTGTACTTCTTGAAGACGATTAGTTCGAGGAGAGAATACCCAAAACGTAGCTATGGAACGAAGATCGTGATCCCAGTATATTTGAGTCCACAGCCGTTTTTTTTTTCCTGATTTGCAACACTTTCTTAGACTTCATTTCAGATTGGGCTGCAGGCCCATTTACGTTAGGTCTTCAGAGCTCGGACGCACGCTATTCAGTCCAGACCAGGAGCTTAACATGCACATGCAAACACATGGATTCAAATTGTAGTGACTACTATTTCCAGATGCAGCGGCTTGACTGCTTGTGCGAAATGGTCTCGGTTCATAGTTCATTTCCATTTCTAGAGACGGTCGCCCGGGCCGTCAGTACAAACTTGTTAATAAAAACGGGCGTCTAAATTGTTCTCCTTTGTCAATGTAACTACAGAAACAGTCGGGCTAACGATTTTCACAAAACAAAAGTGTGCTTCCTAGTATTTGAATTCGTGACCTCAAATCTAAGACTTAAAAAACATTTTGCTGTTCTAAATGACTTCAAACAGAAATAAATTGTTAACTACAAAGTTGTAGGTCACATTGCGAACTATGATTTTAGTATTGATTATGTCAAAAATGTATGAATGTATGAGTGTCCTAAAAAAACTGAGGTCATTTGAAAATTGTAGATTTCGAATTACAAAATCAGAGAACTTCAAACAAATTTTCTGGACTCTAAAAAATTTTACAAAAAAAAATCAACTACAAAGATGTAGATGTCATTGAGCTCAACAATTTTGGCATAAACTTCTTCTTCTTCGAACTTCGCTTAAAAAAGTTATAATTATTTTAGGCATAGAGGCAATGCCATATTTTTTTTATAAAAAAGGATTTTATTAATTCATAATTATTACATCGAGTTGATATAATAATTATGAACTTACTTTCGGCCTCTGCATAAAAGCACACAACCTAAACAAACCAGAGAGAAACATGTGACTCTAATGATTATCAATTCTAAGAGAAGCCTTGCACTCTAATGACTACCAATTATAAGACTAGATTGTCAGTCATGTGCATGGCCGGGAGAAAAAAACCGTGACCGCTTGCGCCAATTGTTGTGATGCCGCTGCAACCAAAGCCCATGAAGTAACCTTTTCGAGGATAACCCATATGTGGAGTCAATGGATAAACGATGGTACCATCTGTAAAGGAGAATAAACAAGTTTCTTTTCAAACACCAAATTGGTTTTGTTATTTGTTGGTCATTTGTAGAGATGACGCTCTTAATATAACAGGCCCGCCTTTGAAAATAACTATTTACAAATGAGGTAGTTATTTACAAAGGAGCGAGGTTGCCTTAGGACAAATGCATTTATTAATCGATTAACAGAGACGTCATAATACAACTGCCTCTATAAATTGATGCTTAACAATAGCAGTCATCTTAGAATGCCCACCTCTCCTAATTAATAGGGGTGCTCATTTTCCTACGACCCGTCTCACCATTTTGACATATGGCAACCACTAATGCCAACCTCTATTAATTAGAGGGTTTGTGTCGCGGGGTCAGAACCGTGACAAGCATTGTTGTTCGAGGGGTGTCAGAGTGCATGTCTCTGATGGTTCGGGTGGACTCAAGAACACAAAAATCATAGTGGGGACACAACGGTTTATCCTAGTTCAGGCCAATCGATGCCCTACGTCCAGCAGTTGATGATCCTTATACTCAAGAGCACCCAAAATATAGAGGGTTACAATAGAGTGTAAGAGAGAGATTTGGTAGGGGATTGCTCGGTGCTGATCCTAGGGTCGCCTCGCACCCAGAGGAGCCTTCCCCATCGTCGGAGAGGAGGAAGACGGTGGATCCGGTGGAGGAGCTCTCGGTGTCCCTCTCAAGGTTGCTCTTCTCTTGGTGCAAAGCTCGAGCGGAATGGTAAGGATGCTAATGATCTGTCTCGGATCATCCTCTACCCTCTTAGGATCCGACCTATCCCTTATATATCGAGATAGGTCGGGTACATGGCGGTTTGGGGGGTTGTACCTATGGTCTACATGCGCCGGAGTCTAGGAGGGTCTTGCAACAATGCTCTGTGGACCGTAGCGATATTGTGGAGCCAAAGAAGCACTAGGCGTCGTTCGGCTGCTCTATTCTGACACGCAGAGTGTCAGGCTGTGTCGTCTTGGACCGGCCTCCCCCGGGTGCACCATCTGGAGGCTTCTTGGTGGTGAAGGAGGTTGTCGGGGACCTAATACCGGGGTACCCCAAAGAGGAGGAATCAATGCACCATTGAACGGTAAAAAAACTCTCGAGGCTGCAGTGTATCTCTTGCTGAGCAAGCAGAGTCTTGCTCCGCCTCGCCCGACCCCAGAGGGCTGGGCTCGGCCCGCCCGGCACGGCTGGAGGGCAACTCCGCCTCGCCCGACAATTTGGATAACAACTCACCCGACCCCAAGGGATACACTCCGCCTCGCTTGACCCCGAGGGCTGGGCTCGGCCCGCTTGACGGCGGCCGGGGACACCTCCGCTTCGCCCGACGGTAAAAGCTAGGTTTTACCTCATCCAACGACCAGCGGACCTCGTCTTAAACCGATATCCGGAGGCTGGTTCAGCTCACTGACGAAAGCGTACCCGCATCCTCATGATGGCGACTACGAGGTAAGACAAGACATTGGGTCAACCACGGCGACAGACGCCATGCCCTACACCCCTGCGAGAGGTACCGTCGGGATGTGGCGAGCCAAGCATCGACCTCTCCAGCGTGGCGAGCCGAGCGATGTTGCGGGCGCTGCTACTCATCCTCTGATATTGTAGGCGCCGCCCGCAACCTCCGAACGAAGAACCCGGCGTGAGACATCGACAACCACTACGTTCCAAGGGCAAACCAGCAGTCACCCGCGCCACCCGACCCCCCTCGGGGTGAGGCTCGGCAAATCTGTCCGACACCGCGCCGCCCGCAGGCGGATGGGACGTACCCACTTGCTAAGCAATGGCCATGGCACGGCCCGACGATCTCTGATCACCTCACTCGACACGGCACGCCATGATGGATAGGTCGGCGTGGGGAAGAAGGAAGGCCGGGTCCCTCGAAGGACCTTCTACGCCCTTAGTGCTCTTTTCCTTTGTCTGTAAACCCCGCTCCCCTTGACCTATAAAAGGGAGGCGGGGCTCCCCCACTAAGGGAGGTGGATCAATTACGAACAGTTAACACACACACACACACCCACGGGCCAAGCTCCAGTGAGCTCTTGGCATCCTTCCAATCACTCCATCGGGGACTTGGGGTCTTTCCCTCTCCCAACCGTTTGTACCCCCTACTACGAACCTCATTCGGTGCTAATAACACGGCGACAACAGGTGGGCGTAGGGACATTCGGCCCGAACGATATAACCCTTGTGTCCTTTAGCGCACCATCCCAAGACTAACAGCGCATCAATTACAAATTTACTCGCGGTGTTTGTTGAAACACCGGCGGTTAGCAGCGCCGGTAGGGGCCTTTGCGCGTTCCAAACCGAGGCGCGGATGGCTAACCACGACATTAGCTGGGTCCCGGCGCACACATGCGTTTGGGGCACTGGATTTCATCATCACGGGGAGAGGAGATTTGGCATGGCCGCACGCGCCGCCATCCAATCTCTTCCCTCAACGGCCATTACCATGAGAGGCTTGGGCGTCGGCTCGGCGTCTCCCACGGACCATGGGAGTCGGGGAGAAGCAACATCGCCTCGCCATCGCCATGCGGCGCGCGAGCATAAGCGCGACCTTCGTGAGAGACACCTCTCTCGGAGCGACACGTCTGGGCGCCCCAGCGGCGCTTCGTTCGGTCTCCGCATAGCGCCACGGCGACCGCGAGCCATCTTTTGGCACTACGCATGGTTCTAACGCCCGCGGACAACGAGTTCGTGGGGTGATTGAACATGACACGGAGTCTCTCCACAAACTCCTCGCCGAAGAGCGAGTCATCCTCTAGCTCCGACTCCAGCGGCGGGAGCCATCGTCCTTCCGGGGATGCTTTGTGGCGCAAACCCCGAGGGACACGTCGAAAGCGTCTCGGGAGGAGACTACCCCGCATTCGACCCAGCAGGGCAACCCGAGAGGAGCAGCCGCCCGCCCGTGTGGGGGTGGAAGCGACTAAAGCCCAAGGGAGGAGATCGTGCCGGACAGCAGCTTGCCCGAGAATACGAAAAAGTCAATAAAGAGATCGAGGCGCCATGGAGATGGTGGGCGCGCATGCACCTGCTTGCCCCGGCTATACACCAAAGGATCCTCACCGACGATGGGGCTCTCCACACTTCGCTCGGCGAGCCAAAACATCGCCGCCGCCGCGGCCCTTACTTCACGGTCTCCCACAGGCCGCGACATCCAAGGATCACCGGGCCCGCCGAGAAATCCGCACATTGCTCGAACGTGCGGTGGCACAGCAGGCCGAGAGCTCGTTGTCTCGGCGACGCGAGCTCGACACCAGCCAGCGCCGCGCCTCGGTCCGTCCCGCCAAAAGATCGTCGAGTTCACCAAAGCGCCACCGGCGACGACAGGCGAGCCGCTATAGTCCGGTGCATGAATGCCTCGGCCACAACCACGGC